CTAGCAGCCGAAATGTTAAGAAGAGACATTCTGTCCTTTCAATAAAAATGAAACCACCTTGGGACCCACAACATTTTATATCCGTTTTACCATCATGGCTGTAAACATGTCTCAGTATGTGCTGATGTGCTAGTACAGGCTAAAAATATAATATGAACAAAAACGCAGACTTATTTTAATGCTTTAAGCTTTAGGTCAGCCGTAGCCGCTTTTCTTGCACCTCAGTCAGGAAACTTTTCCGCGAGTTTCTTGTAAAATGTCTCTCAATGTTTGACTTTTTATGAGGCTGAAGTCAGTTTATCATTCACCAGCTTCTTGTTCTAATTGTCCTGTTCCACCTTAAATGGAGCCTGAGGCTCCAGAATGTACCGCTGCGCCATTTACGGTGGAACGGGAGAATTAGAACGAGAAGCAAGAGACTGAGAAGCGACTTCAGCTTCGCAACTTGTTGCAGATTAAACGTATGAGGAAACCAGCTAGAGTGCTTATAAACACAAATAAGTCCATTCATCTCCAAATTATTGATGTTGGTCTTAAATCTTTCTCTTTGCCTTTTCGTTATCTGCGTTGTTGTGTGACCAGCAGTCTGTGCGTCAGTCTTCAGCGTTAAAGGTTGGTGAATTAGCAGTTATGTGTTAACTCCAGTGTTTAAGACCATTTATTTGAAAACTGTGTTAGAACTGAGTGTTATAATGAGCAAATGAGGATTATGTTATTTTACCTAAAAATCTAATTCTGCTGTGGAGCCGCAGCAGCTCTGCAGCAGTGGAGAGATTATTCAGGCCTGATTCTTACCCCATACAGAGTCAGGGTGACTGATGAGAATTTTGAGGCTAAAGTGTTGCTGAAGTTTAACAAAAGACTCTGAATGTCCTGTCTGTACATATAATGCTGAAATTGGAGCACATTTATTTCAACAGTTGACAATGCTTTGCACAAAATTGTTTGGTTTGTATGTTTGGTTATTTTTGTTAGGAAGAACCTGGAATGATTGACTTTGCCTTTAGTCTAAATTTTTGTTGAATATCACGCATTTGATTTTGTAAGTTTTGATTGCTGGTTACACTTAAACTTACTTTTTGGTGATCTTGTATATTTGCAGCTTTTCAATTGTTGAAATATGTTTCTTTCTGGCACATGATTAAATGCAGTGTCAGTTGGGCTTGTTTGGTGTTAAATCAGTTGGGCTTTTTTGGTGTGTCAGGTGGAGATTCACAAACATTCTGACAATCGCAGTTTGAAAGTAGCTAAAAAGTAGTGCACTACTTATCAAAAAGTAGCTAAAAAGTAGCCACTACTTTTTCCGGAAAGGTAGCTAAATTGTAGCTAGCTACAAATTTTGGGAAAGTAGCTACAAAGTAGCTAACTACTAATTTTTCAGTAGCTATCCCAACCCTGATTTTATACAACAATATCTGGCAAATATTGCTGTTATTATGTCCAAATACTGAAGAAAGATTTAAAAACAAAGAATATAAAGAGCTGTCAATAATGTTATTTCTATCTATCTTGCTCGCTCACACTCTCGCACTCACTATGAAGTGAGGTTAAAGTAGTTGGCTTGTCACCTAGCTAGCAAATGTTAGTGTTAGCTTACCCTCTTTTCGTGGCCTCACGAAAATCCAAAGTTAATTAAACTGGCTAACAAGCACCCGAGTAAAAAAACAGATAGCCAGCTTTACCAACCATAATTTGCCTCAAATCCATGTTGTAGGTGGATACATTCACTCTGTAACTACTTATTATTTTATTCTGTATATTACAGATTTTCAATAAGGTCTAATGTTTATTTTAGTGAGCTTTCAGCCAAAATGCTTTCAGCCAAAATGCCAAAATGCTGCATTTCACCATGTGCCAGAAAGAAACATACTATTGAAAAGCTGCAAATATACAAGATCACCAAAAAGTAAGTTTAAGTGTAACCAACAATCAAACTTACACAACCAAAGGTGTGATATCCAACAAAAATTTAGACAAAGTAAAGGCAAAGTCAATCATTCCAGGTTCTTCCTAACAAAAATAACCAAACATACAAACCAAACAATTTAGTGCAAAGCATTGTCAACTGTTGAATCAGGCCTAAATAATCTTTCCACTGCTGGACAGCTGCTGCGGCTCCAAAGCAGAACTAGATTTTTAGGTAAAATATCATAATCCTCCTTTGCTGTAAAATCATTATAACACACAGTTCTACCACAGTTTTCACAATAAATGGTCTTAAACACTGGAGTTAACGCATAACTGCTAATTTACCAATCTTTCACGCTGAAGTCTGACGCGCAGACTGCTGGTCACACAGCAATGCAGATAATGAAAAGGCAAAGAGAAAGATTTAAGATGGTTTCCTCATACGCTTAATCTGCAACAACTTGCGAGGCTGAAGTCAGCTTCTCATTTACCAGCTTTTTGTTCGAATTTTCCCGTTCCACCTTAAATGGCACAGCAGTACAATCTGGCACCTCCGGCACCATTTAAGGTGGAACGGGACAATTCGAACGAGAAGCAGGAGGAATGAGAAGCAACTTCAGCCACGTAAAAGTCGAACATTGAGCAGCATTTTACAAGAAACTTGCGGAAAAGTTTCCTGACTGAGGAGTGAGAAAAGCAGCTACAGCTGAGCTTAAAGCAGAGTGAAGTAAGTCTGCATTTCGTTTATATTATATTTTTATCTTGTACTAGGACATCAGCACATACTGAGACGTGTTTACAGCCATGAGGGTAAAACAGACATAAAATATCGTGGTTTAATTTTTTTTCACAGGACAAAATGGCTCTTCTTAACATTTTGTTGTGACCGCTGAGCTAAGCCCGGTAGTAAGGGGTGATCAGCGCGCGCCCGTTTGCTCGAACTGTCCGCTGCTCAGTCAGGATTGCACAGTCGCCACTAGCCATTAACGACCGTTCTGTGATTCACATTTTGCGAAGATTGCCTGAAGCTTGAATCGAAATTGTAGCGAAAAGTTTTACTATAGCTACAGAAAAATTTGTAGTCGCTACAGCTATTAGCTACATTTCATAAAACTGTAGCAGCTACAGCCATTAGCTACAAAAATGTGTAGTTAGCTACTCCCCCGTCCCTGCCCAGGTCTGATATGATTGGCTTACAACGTGTGAGGTCTGATATGATTGGCTGAACGACGTTAGTCAATGTCTGGTAGTACAGCAGAGGCAGCACTGCATAGAGCAGCAGTGCCTCCCCCAGGTCGTGCCCTGCTATTACTATAAAATGTAAATAAAAATAAACTTTGGATGATTTGGACTAGTAATGTAGCCTACATGTACTTGGAAAGGGGGGCTAAAATAATATTTAGGGTGGGCTAAAGCCCCCTTAAAACTGGCCTAGCGACACCCATGTAGCAAAGTCAAGGAAAGTTTGCTTATTTTTTTAAGATGTTGTCTCTTTGTCTCTTCACAGCCGAGTGAAGTTGAAATTATGGCAAGAACAGCAAACCTACAAGCATATTATTATGCAGTGCTTCAGCAGACATGAGACTTTGGCTTCATAATGACTCCTTAAAAAGCCCAGTAGTTAGCGTTGAGATCTGTGTCTACTAAATGCAAACAGATGATAAACTGCCAGTTGAACATCACTGTTTGCTCCTAACAGATTTGCATTAACCTTTTTTTTCACTTCATACCTAACTACATGAATTCTATCCTCACTAGTAGGATGGCCAAGCAGCAGAAAGCTAGCTAACAGGCTAACGCTGTAATAATACAAGAAAGACTTAAAGTTTAAGCCTTTAAATTAAGCCTTACTTTTCAACGGAGACATACAAAATAAACAATGTAATGAAACACAAGAAGGGGTAATGCGGGAGGATATGACATGTGAGGAGGGTAAACAAACACAACACGCTGTGACCCATCCTCCTCGGTCACAATTATACTAAGCACAACTACTTCGCTAACACAACATCTCAACCACAACAGCAGCAAACAGTAACTGTCTTTTCCTTACCGGAGGCTGGGAGCCACTTGGCATGGCTACATCTCCTCAGAGCAGACCCGTGGCGCCAACAGTACTTTTTAATGTAATGTCCACTCATGGTGGAGAGGTACATTCAGGCCGTTCTAAGTTCTAAATCTAACACCCAAAGAAAACATTTCTTCCACCAGATTTACCTCGTCATCATCAACGTTACAACTCAAAAGAAGTAGGTTCACTGGTCACTATAGGTTGTAAATTAGATTTCATATTTGCGTTGAAGACAGACTTCTACTAAATTTATTGTCTAGACATTATTCCACTACTTTGAATGGTACAGTAATAATATTAAATGTATTATCAAATGTTACTGCGCTACGTAATATAATCGTTTTTTTTTAACACGTATTAATTGTTTATAATAACTTTTAAAAACTGGTACATTTGAATGCTTAATGTTCTAGTAAAAAAGACTGAGACTTAATATTCTCAAGCACAGGTGCGTTGGCGCGTTGGCTCCTGGTGCTAGTAATTTAAAAACTGGTGATGTGCTGTCACCTAGTGGCCATCACTAAGCATTGTCATTGGACTGTTACATTTCCACAAAGGCAGACTCTCGGGTCTATATCACATTTATATTTATCTGATGCATCAAATGACACAGAGCAAGCAGAATATACGCTTTATACTTTAATTTACGCTTTATATTTTAATTTCTGCATTTCTCTACTAAATCAGATCCTAAGAGAGTGTTCACTAGACACCATCTTTCCTTATTTTCTTTTTTGTTTCGTTTTTAAATTATATGTACACACATTGAAAACTCATTTAAAGGTCACGCTTGATCAGAATATATTCAAACCTCAATAGGCATTGACTTTCATGTAGTACTTCGGAGTTTTCTTCTTTTATGGCTTGTGATCATCTATAAGGCATAATATAATTTGAACTAATTGCAGTACATTGGTAGATCATAGGATTTCTAATGTGATGAACACTGCTCTGGAATTCGGGTTTTCTGGTTCTTCGCATGTTCGCTCGCGCTGCTGCTGCAGTTATTTGTCCTTGCGACTTTCCGTACCAAGATGCTTTCAGAGCTTGAGGAAGCGAGTAGTCGGTACAGAACAGCTAGCTAAATACAAAGCATCCCCCGGCGGTTATTGTCTATTGCAGAAACAGATTTGACTTCGCTGTAATATACGAGATGGCATATCAGCTGTACCGAAATACGACGCTCGGAAACAGTCTACAAGAGAGTCTTGACGAACTTATACAGGTAAAATTAACCAGCGTTCGCGTTAGTTAAGGTAGCGAGCTTGCTTACGGTTAGCTTGTAGGCTAAGGTAATAACCTAGCTAATTGCCTACAGCCAGTGTTACGGTCATTTAGAGTCGCCGTTTATCCACTGGAAGCAGAAAACTCATTTTGCACACTTTGTTTTGTACATAGTAGTAGGTGTTAAAATAATACATTATTAAGTTCTTGATTTTTTGATCATTTTTGAAGACTGTTCGTGAGAAACTTGTCCTGCCTTTTAGCTGTATCACTAGCAGCTTGCTCGGTAACTTCTAAACATTTTAAAACGACTTCAGTTGAAGTCTGTGCGAACGAAGTTGTTCATTATATCGCGTTTTGTTGGAAATCTTAGGGAGAACATAAACGCGTTTGGAAAAGCTTAAGAGTTTGTGCACAAAATCGATAAAGCCAACAACAGCCTATTGGATACGTGGGTCTGTTATGTCACGTAGTTAGCTAACTTCTGTCTTCAGATGCACGCTGAACCCCAGCATGCCGCTAAACTAGTTTAAATGACGTGTCGTGTTAGTGAAGTACATGTATCGGAGAGCAAGAGAAAAACATCTTATAAAGCTGGTTCTTCTGTAACGTAATGGAAGTCTCAGTGTCTGGTTTGGAACACTAGGGACTATCACTATCATCAGTTGGAATGGACCGATGTTTAAGAGCCTATTTCTTATTTTGTTGTTCTTTTTTTGTTGTTACAGACTCAACAGATTACCCCACAGTTAGCCCTCCAAGTTCTGCTACAGTTCGACAAAGCCATCAACACTGCACTGGCCAACCGAGTTCGCAATAGAGTCAATTTTAAGGTGAATATGAGTGATGTATGCATTTTATTAATTGTTCTCAAAATTGTTGTTTAGATTAAGAAGGCCCCAATGGCAAATTGGTATTCATTAGTAGGATGCAGGATAAAACTCCTAAGACCTTTAAGCCTTCTGTATGAATTGTGGTAAGTTTCCTCTGTATAATTTGCAGGGATCACTGAATACATACAGATTTTGCGACAACGTGTGGACGTTTGTTTTAAATGATGTGGAGTTCCGGGAAGTCACTGACCTGGTGAAGGTGGATAAAGTGAAGATCGTAGCCTGTGATGGGAAAAGTAAGATTGTGTAATCTGTGTTGTTCGTCACTTGTTAATTCGTTCTCTTCTCTCAATTTCCAACCTCCCACACTAGTCTAAAGAAATATTTGTCTGTTGTCAACACTTAATCAAGCGTCATACAAATGTGTGAAAAACTAATCCATATGATGTTCTTATGTAGCCTTGCAGTCTCATCTCATGTTATAGAATCCCACCATTTGTTTCAGCTGGGATTATTTAGCCTGTGAGCTGCATGTGTTGTGCAGCTAGTCTCAAATGTATATTTAAATAAATATAGCCTTTAGTTGGAGGATAGACATTAACATATTGCCCCACTTTCTGATCTTCAAATATCTGTATATTGAATTCACAATCATAGAATATTGTACAGAATAGAAATACTGGTTTGGCTCCCCAGTAGATTGGGCATGAGGCAGCATTGTTCAAATGAACTTTAGAACCACTCACAATGTTTGTGAGCATCTTGGCCAATCACAATTCCAGATGAATGTTTCTGTAGATATTTAAAAATTTAAATATTTAGATTTTAAAAAGGCATTTACATTATCGAACAAAAGTAAATTAATTTTGGGCAAAATAATGCATAACAGATTTACTATTGCATTTTAATAAATAGCAAGGCGTATTGCAATATGTTGCATTTTAATCATGATACTAGTATTTTGTCCATATTGTGCAGCCATAGCCACTGGACTCTTTCACACCCCTGACACCCCTTGGTTTTGTCTGGATTGTTTCTGTCAGTCAGATGTAATTGCCCATTCAAGAAGGGTATCTAATTACTGATCGAAATTGCAAGTATACCATAGAGAAACCAGTAGATTCCTGGGGTGGTTAAATTATTTCTGTTCGTAACCATGTATGGTATAAGAATGTGTTTTTCGCTAGGACAGTGTTCTGCTTGACTGTTAAGGTTTGTTTCTGTTTTGAGCTATGTTATGGTATGTTGTTTTAGTTTAGTGGTGCATTATGTGATTAAGTGTGGCATTGGTTTTAAATGTCATTACATTCTGTTGTAGACACTGGCTCTAATGCAGCGGAGTGAGAAGAAGAGCGGACGGATTGCAGGAGAGAAAATGGAAACAGAGTGCCATGCTGACCGAGGAAGACTAGGATGAAGGCCGGTCACACAGAGAGGACTGTGTACATATTATTTATTACAGGCGACAGCTCTCCGTCCTTCATAATAATAACAACCAGCTCAGCACAAGGCCGAAGACAAGACAAAGCCTTGGACGTGACCTTTTTTATGGATTATATATATATATATAAAAATATAATTTTTGTAGAAACATCATTTTGTTTCCTGTTTCAGTTTATTACAGTTTAGCTTGAATCATTTAATAAACTTGTTTTAAAAGATCTATTGTACTGTAAATTCACTTAAGTGAAAAATCTGGTGGATTAGAATTAACATGGCTGAACAGCAAGTAAACCCTCATGCCTCACGTGTTGTTGTCAGCTTTTCAATGTGCGTCAGTCTGACATGCCATTAAGCTCTCTGGCCAAATGAGGGCACTCGTATCATCTTATTTTGGGGATAAGTAATGAAAAAACAGATTGCTGAGGGCTTTCTTTGTAGATAAATTTTCACAAATTAACACTGCTTAAAGTCTGTTCTATGCAAAGAATATGCTTTGATAAGTTTATAGTTTGTGGGAGTCAATGGATATTGTAAGGCCTGTTGGATTATAATAATAATTTTATTGAAATTACTTGTTGTCCATGTAAAGTTAATCACAATTTAAAGTGATGGTTTTAGCACGTGAGGCCCTCCCCCAAACGTGCATAGGTCCATGCCCTTAATAGCACCTTAGGGAAATGTGTTCAATATAATGTCTGTTACATAGGCGTTGGTGAGTACATCTGTGAAGTATTCAACAAAATAATGTGAATTCGTTATTAGATGTGTTAGATTGTGTTTAATCTCCGCAGTTCACACGCTGCCGGCATCAACTGACTTCAAACGTGACGTGCTTTGGTAATCCTGTGCATTTCTTTCTCTTAATGCAGCGCAAGTCACGGCCTGACTCTCATGCTATTATTAAGCATTAAAGCCATTTTGGGTTTGACTTTTACCAAAGTAGATTTACCTTCAATCACCATTTATTAAATCTCCTCTGCATTAAAGAGCATCGTTCATAGGAGTGACTCCATTAAGCCTGATTACACAAACACACATGCAGTGCGAGAGGGAAGGGGTCCCTGTCAGCATCATACTGGTTACAGCTTTATCTGCATTTCAATCTCTCCCTCCTCACTTTAGCTGCACTGTGTTGCTCAAGGCAGCATTTGGAATTTGTGTTCATCACTGTTGACTCTTACTGTCTGCTGAAAGAGCTTTTCAGCTTGACTGATTGTGTGGGCTTGCAATGCTTGAGTACTAAACTTAGTACTACTTGTAGGGTCAGAATTAAGAGAAGAACACAGGAGGCATCTGAACAGAGAAGTGAGGAGAGACAAATGCCCAGTTAGCCATGGAGAACAAGAACTTTGGTGGGAAGAAGGGCAAGGAAGGCTCCTTTAAACGCTCCTCCATCAAACGCACATCATCTGGTTCTCAGAAGGTAAGGATCACTATAGCTCACCTCCTGAGATAGCCTCTAAGACAAAATCTGTGCCTTATTTGTCACAGATTAGGGGTGGATAATACGGCAGAAACATCAGTGTTGTACTTATTTTTTCTGAGGTTTGTTTACGAGCTTGTATTATAAATATATGGACATGATGCACGAGTTACACTGTGTTGCTACATACTGTGAAAAGTTGAGTACAATGAATACAATTTTTTTTTGTTTGCTAAGGTGTAGGAAAAAAGGAGTAGTATTTGTTCCCAAATGGCTGTTGTGGTGTAGCCAAAGGATTTCGGTCTGGGCAAATAAAAAAAAAAACTCTGTAGAGGGTACAGGAGTAACAATCAAATGATTGGTGAAAAATTAATTAATGAAAGGGATTATGAAGGAATGACATCCAATTGGCTGCTTGTTACTAAACAATTTATGTAGTTATGTATTGTTTACTGGCTCTGGTCTTCACTGGTCTTTTTTTTATGATGCATGTTGTTCAGTGTTCTAGAAGTACTGACAATGCCAAATATTTAGAAAAACATATTGTGACATAATTTGTCATGATAACATATTGTCACAATGATAAACTAGTCAAAGGGTTCACAGTCCCAGTTTTGGCACAAGGACTAGGCACAAATAGGTACCAATGCCAAACACACAGTGGTTCACTTTCCAAATAATATGGTCCAGTGTATGGATATATGGATGGAGTAGAGTGTGACTGGCAGCAGTCAGCAATTGTAAGCCCACAAAATACACCTACATGGAAGGCATATAGCTCAATAAGTGTAGGTATAAATTATTTGTACTTTATTTTCATTGTGCTAGCAACATAACAAGCATTTAATAGCTTAATTCTGTGAAGAATATTTTTAGTGTTAAGACAAAACCTTGCATCTCAATTTGAGAGTGCCAGCTGCCTTTTATATTGTGTGAACATTTCATTATGAGTGGCCCAGCAGAAATGGCCTAAAATTACTTGCAATTCCTTACTTTCATTAACTTACATTAAAGTTAACTTTGTAGAGAAACAAGGTTCTCTTCCAAGGGCGGTGATATGTACATAAGAGAGAAAAACCAAAAGGCCTTATGGTAGAGGAAGATTAAAATATATTATTTATGCATTGTTTGAATGGGTCATTCTCAAACCTGTCTTCAGGATCCCTAAAATGGTCCATATTTTGCTCTGTCTTTATGTTTTGAGAGTTGGGATCAAGCAAAAATGTGGAGAGTCTAGGGGGCCCCTGTGAAGTGGTTTGAGGACCGCTGGTCTAAATGTGTAATGTGACAAATGTGAAAACAGGAATAGAAACAGCTGAAACCATCCATCCCAGAACAGAACCTGTTCAGAACACATACAAACACATACTTGAGAGAACAAACATGCATTTCAGTATTGTTCTTTAATCTCTGGTAATGGCTCTGTAAAGACCAGCTGCCTGCACAGCTTAGTGCCTCCGTTCATTCTAATACTCACTCTCATGTGATTAATGCAAGCAGAAGACTATAGACAGAACTAAAACACACAGCACTACTACTGACCTTGACCCTGAAATAATTTCACATCTGCTTTCTAAAAGTACCTTGTAAAAAGTATAGACGAGTATGTGGAAGTTGCAAGATGAATACTGTTTCTTCAAGATTGTACATTTTAAAGCTGACAGCAGTTTACTGAATATGCTTTAATGTTGGTTTCTTCTCTTCCTTTGTCCTCATATTCCTCTCAGTAAAAAGGCTGAACAGCATAATCACATTGAAAGGATCAGGAAATAACTAGACTGCATGTTTAAAATACAAGAATAGGTAACTATAAACCTGTACACAAAATCAGATTGTAGTAGATAAATCAGAAAATCCGGTTACTGTCTCATAAAATGCAGTGATTAAATGTTGGATTATAAATTTAACCAGAATGAAAAGCATGTAGTGCCATTCAACATGAAAATTGGTAAAACATGGAGATTTTAAGAGTGAGAAACTGTGACTGCAAGCATGACCATCAGCAGAAAAGGTTTAATCAGCAGGAAACTAGATTTTTCCACGCCATAGTCTTGATGAAAACTTTTTGATGAAAAGTTATGAAATACATTTTATGAAACCTACTGGCATAATACATTACTGCTATTATCCAGTTCCTTTAGGTATATTGCTGCTACACTTTTACTGCATTATGCAATTCTTTAGATTATGTTATAGTTTAATCTGATGATCACTAATCTGTACTGTTTTTTCATTAATCCCTAACCTGAATAATCATATAGCATCTTTCACAATAGAGATAACCTGAGCCCTGTATATATTATTTAAACAGAGTTGATGTTCCTTCCTTACTAATTTAATTTTGACCTGTTCTAAGAAACTAATGTGGGGGAGCTCAAAAGAAGTTAGAAATCATTTAGCTATCTAACAGTCCATCCAGCTGTGTGAATCACATGAATTCAATACACTTAAATTAAGTCTAAATTAGAGTCTGCAAAGATCTCATGAAACACACACACACATGCATGTTGCCCCATGGCCCCACCTGTGGCCTTTCAAAAGCTAGAGTAATCCTAAAAATGTGGTCATGTGGTTTCCTGTTTCACCCCAATGACACAAAGCCCTGTCAAAGTGAGGTATACTGACAGGTTCTGTTTTAAATAGACACGACTGTGCAACCAGAAAACAGTGCTATGCAAAAGTCTTAGAAACCTTAGAAAACCTTAGAAAACTGTTAATGTTTTTTATCTATAATTATAATTATAATTTTATCAATAATTGCATTTTATCAGCTAAGCATTAGAATAAATACAAATAGACATAAATACAATAAAAGGTAACAAATCTAAAAGTAGTTGATATGACATGGTTGGAAGAATACAGGTTCTGGATTTCTCCCTGACCCCAGCCATCACATGAAATCCACCATTACCACAAATGATTTAATTAATGAAGGATTGATAGGCCAATAGAGGTGTCAGATGATAGCTACAAATAATACTGGGTCATGAGAAGAGATTTGGAAATGGTAAAATGAAAACATTAACATACAAAAAATCACTACTTATTGTGTCAATATTATTTGTATTTATTCTAATATGAGTGTTTTCTTAGCAAATAAACACTCCATGTCCAAAAAAATAGCTTTCTAAGTAATTTTCAGGGTGTCTAAACTTTTGCACAAAACTGTATGTGTATGCACACTCACTAATAAGAACCTGTGGATAATGAGCAAGTTCTGTTCCATCATATGAGTGTGCCAACACAGGATGGTGTCAACCTTAATAATAATAATAATAATAATAATAATAATAATAATGGCTGCCAAATCAGACCTCTTCTCAATCTCCTTTGCAAAAGCCTATGGCTTAGACAACTCAATCCTACCTTAGTACAGAATTCTATTGTCTATTGTATTTTCCAGTAATCCCCCCAAAAAAGTATTTTCCCTCACTACAAATGTTGCTCATTGTTTTCTATTTGGCTAATAAGTTAATTTGCTTAGGCAGAGGGGGATAATCTGTAGAGTTAAGCTTCTAACAGGAGGCCTATGTAGCTAGTGCTAGCTCACAGGACTTTTGATAATTAGATAGTTTTATGAAAAGGCTCAAACCCTGCATTGTGCTGTGTACCACGTTGCACTTGCAGACTTGGCCATTGTAAGGTCTTTTTACTGTAACTCATTTTTTGTAGCTCATTCACATGCTTGGCCAAACCAGGGCGACCGTATGCATTATTGCCGAAACCAGGG